ATCAAAGGCGTTATGAGATTCGGTAAGAAAGGAAAGCTTAGCCCTTTGTACATTGGACCTTATAAGATTATACACAGAGTAGGCCAAGAGTATATGAGTTAGACTTGCCTTCCAACTTAGAGTATGTACATCCAGTCTTTCATGTGTCCATGCTCCGTAAGTGTATTGGAGATCCTTCTAAAGTCATTCCAGTTGATGATGTTCAGGTTGGAGCAACTATCATACGAGGAAACTCCCATTTCTATACTAGATAGACAAGTTCGGAGATTGAGAACTAAGGATGTAGCTTCGGTTAAAGTACTTTGGAGAAACAATAATGTGGAGGAGATGACTTGGGAAGCTGAAGAAGACATGAAGACTGGGTATCCTCACTTGTTTCCGCTTCCAGAGGAGGATCAAACTGAGAAATCACATCCTTCATATACGTATATGATACTAGATTCTTGTGTTAGTTACTTCCATTGGTCGTGTGAGGCCATTGGTGTTATTGATGATTGTAACCCTATGTGGCTTTGTATTTTTGGATTTTCTACATGATAGGTTGGTACTAGTACCGTTATAGAGGAGACTCTGCCAGAATTTCTATAGATCTCTAAGAGTTAACATTCGAGGACGAATATTTCTAAAGGGGGAAAGGATGTTACATCCCGTGCTTTCAGTCTATGGCTTCAGTCGCTCGACATATGTAAATAGACCCGAGCCATGAAAGAATTTTGGCCATATCTAAGTATGCAAAAAAAATGAGCATGATATATAAAACGATGAAGTCTCGAAATGATGTAAGACTTATAAGTGTGACGATGATGGTTAGGAACAATAGTTGGTGTTTGCAAAATAGGCTACGGACTAGTATTGATTACATTGATAACGAGTTTAATAAATGTATTAAACAACTTGGTATATATCAAATTGAGGTCAAAGAGTTTACGACGTGCATTAGTTAAATTTCGGAGTGTAGTGAAAGAAATATCAATAATGGAATTAGCTAAAGATAAAAAAAGACCCTACCATAATTGAGGATGGACACCTTTTCACGTGGATGCATAATATGAAATGAGGAAATGACTCATTCACTCTAGATAGGTGATCTGGTGGCTGTATATAGGGGTGGACAATTCATATTTTTAAAAATATATAGGAAGTGGACCCCACGGTCCAAGGGATTATGAATTGTGTTAATATACTATTTGAATTAAATTAGTTTCTTAGTTCGAATAAAGGCATCAATGAAAGTTAGTTCTTTCTTACGGTATGAAGAGTTCTTTAACTTGAATTGAGGCAGCAAAGTTATTAACCATAGCACATTATTCAATTCATATAAACCCCATCTCAATCAACTAGAAACCCTTTACAATTGCACCTTACAGATATCTATCTCTAAGGAAATTGTATTGCAATTTTCTTCTTGGTTTGAAAGATTTGTGTGTAAAGGTGTTGGGAAGGCTTATCTCCAGTTCATCTCATCCCTTTTCTTTAAATAATTAAGGTAAGAATTCAACAATCCTTCTAGATAAGTTTATCTTCAACTTAAAGAAATCCACTTTAATTTCTTATTGATGTAGAAATAAAGGTTCTTATAGTGTATTTGAAGAGGATTTGGTTGTGTTGAAGGGCTGAAAATAGAGTTATAAATATGTATATGTGTTGTTATCCTTGCTGTTATAGGTAATATCATACCCTTCTCCATGTATTTGAGGTCATTTGGATCATAGTTTGGTTATTGATGAAGTGTTGTAGTTGTTGAACGGTTTTGAGTGGTTTCTTAAGGTATCCTATGGCTGAAAATTGTGAAGTATAGTTGTTTGTGATGGTGGTTGTGTTGTGAGTAGAGGAGAAGAGCTAGTAGTGTTGAATTGCCATTGTAGGATGAGATGAAGCTTATGCACCCTAAGTGTTCGATAAAATGCCGTAATGAATCCAATTCTTGGTTTATTGATTCGATTGTGATCCAAATCATTTATACAATATAGATTATCATTCGTATAGCATACGGGAACTCGTGAGCTATCACTAGCCAAGCAATAAGGGTATGTTAAATCCATCCCTTCTTTCCTTTTTGGCATGTTCCATACGATACAAACGAAACGGGCAAACACACAACTTTCATAAATGCCTCTATTCATAGAAGCACTAGGGGTACCTATGTTGTTGATTCCCCATGTGTCTTATTATTATATTTTCTGTTCATGGGTCTCAGAAAAAATACGTAGTTGATAAAGTTTATCCGAAGGTATATTGATCTTATGACATTCTGAGAGATCTTATTGACTTACTTCATTATGCGTTGCATTCATTTATACATGTACATTGACCCATGACCAGATGGCGTTATATACGCGTATATTATATGCATATGGGATATAGAAAAAGGTTATGGCGTTATATGCGCACCTCCACCTGATCAGTTGGTATACAGTGATGATTTCGCCCACAGAAACCGAGATGATATGATGGGATGCCCTTAGAGGCTTGATGATGATGTTATGTACGCATATACCTATGCATGATATGACATTTATACGCATATGAATGATATTATAAAAGTTTCATGATTCACAAAGCTATTTAGACTCACAGGTTGAGTCCTTTACTCCATGTTTCTTTTATGTCTTTTACATACTACTTTTCATGCCTTACTTACTCGGTACATTATTCGTACTAACGCCCCTATTGCTTGGGGCCTGCGTTTCATGCTATAGGTGTAGGTAGACAGGTTGACGGTCCCCCATTCTTAGGATCCTTGCTCAGCGATAGTTGGTGTGCTCCATTTGATCCGGAGCTGCTATTGAATTTTGGTACGATACTTTTGTATACATATATAGGTATGACGGGGCCTAGTTCCGTCCTTTATATAGTTGTATACGCTATTAGAGGTCTGTAGACAGTCATGTATAGTTGGATAGTATGTGGCCTTGTCGGCTCGCCCTACCGTATTCCGTATATATATGTACATATGTCTTTTGGACATATTTTTTCTCGCGTATGTTATTCACATGATTCAGTAGTTTATTGCCAGATGTTATGCATAACCTAGACTTATTCCATGTTTTATCTTAGACCTATGCTTAGGGGTGTTCAATAGGTAGACTCGGGCACTCGTCAAGGCCCATCGGTTGGGTCGTGATAAAATACGCGTTGTATTCTTTTTTCCTTACTAAGGTTTTTCCCATGAGGTTTTTCTTGTAAGATTTTTAATGAGGCACCTAGAAATGCATATTACTAAATATGTGTACTTTGTTTCCTTCACTAGGATTTTTTTCACTGAATTTTTCCTAGTAAGGTTTTAACGAGGCACATTATCTTTTAATGAACATCCAATGGGGAGTGTTATAAAAATATTATATTGTTGATGTCCATTTATTACTCCGCTATAGATAATCTTCCTGAATAAGATTATCTGTTTAGTACTCTATTGAAGTTTATCTACAAGCAACTGATACAAGCAGGTTGTAAGCAACTCAATGAAATAATTTGCAACAGCTTCTTGTTAAACAGGCAGGTTGCGAGTAGCTCATGCAGACAACTTACAAGCATCTTAAGAAAAGCCTCGCAACTGCTTCCTAAAAAGACTTGCAGCTGCTTTCTGAAAAGCCTCGCGTCTGCTTTTTTTCTTCTATAAATAGAGGAGTTTTCAATTCATTATGTACATCAGTGTGAAGTTGAATAATATATCAATCTCTCTCTATATTTGCCTTCAGTTTTTTTAATTTATAGTCTTTATTTTATAACAATAAAAGTGTTTTCTCTTAAAATATTTGTACCCAAATTAAAAACTTCATACACTCAAACAAGGTATCAAAGGACAAAGAACACAGACGAGTTACCAGTGTTCGTCGAAACAAAGGTCGTCCTATTCATTTTCGACGGCTTACCATTGCTAATTCCGGCGAATATTACGACGAAGACCACCTTCGGACGTTCATGAGGATAAAATTTTGCTCTAATGGAGTAATTACTGTAGTTGGCAAATGAGATCACTTTGGATTCACTGAAAATGACGATTGGACGAACTTTTTAAAAATTACTAGTATTGTTTATATTTTGACCTTGTTAAGAAATTCTGGGAAAATAGGTATACATTAGAATTAAAGCACGTTGGTCAAAATTTTCAAGCACCAGCAAGCTTGACGAACACCAGAATTTTCAACTATAATGCAAATTTGTTTGATGATTGGTTAAATTTTTGTGGCCAATTGCAAGGAAATATAATCGTCAAAATTTTGTGACGATCATCATAACTTGTAAAATTGTGAAAATCATTATAATTTTGATAAATCACCATAAGCAACAACAACAACAACAATCCAGTGAGTTCTCACAAGTGGGTTTGGGGAGGGTAGAGTATACGCAGACCTTACCTTACCCCGGAGAGTAGAGAGGTTGTTTCCGAAAGATCATCAGCTCAAGAAGACAAAAAGAGATAATATATCAGTACCATCAATAGAACCATAGGAATAATACCAACATCATAAGAACCAGAAAATAGATGAAAAACAATAACAAAAACCAATGAATAAGTACCGGTATTATGAAAAACGGAAGAATAGGATGGACACAACAATAATCGCTAGCATAGGACAGAACCTTATTAGACCAGCCTGCCACCCGGAACGAAGTAGAAAAATGCTCAGCTACCTCCTAACCTACCACCCTAATGCTCGACCTCCACACCTTTCTATCAAGGGTCATGTCATCGAAGATCTGAAATCACGCAATGTCCTGCCTGATCAACTCTCCCGATACTTCTAAAATCGCCCTCCCCTCTTCTCGAACCCGACAAATCACCATAAGACTTCTCCAAATTCAAAACAAAATTTTTTTAATAAAACTTTTAACAGTGGCACCAGATGATCCTATTTGTTTCATTGCCCCTGGGATTAAAGTGCCAATTTCATCTTTAGAGTATATGTTATTTGGGCCTGTATTCGGCCCAAAGTCATTGTAGCATTTTGGAATGGGCCATCCTCTAGCTGTCTTGTCTTGTCAATTTTGTCATTCTTATCTCATTTGACAAAACTTGTATCGAATTTCCATGAAAGTAAAAGATCACTCCAAACAGGAGATCACGTGACTAAAGCTTTTGAGAATGGCGAACGGGCATTTCTTTCTTTTTCCTTGTAAGGTATGCATTCATGCAGACAGATATAGATAAGATCTCTTTTTATAAAAGAAGAAATTCGATACCTTATCAATGGTAACAACTCATTTGAAGCATATATATACAAGAGGAATTTGTCTCTTTAGGCCCTTTTTTATTTACTGTTCACTCGAGTATCATTATCAACAAAACAGATTCTCCTTTTCTTTTTTGGTAGATTAAGGATGTTACTTTTCTTGTAATTTGGCTTTCACTTTCTATTTTGATTCTTGTTTCAAAATGGTGAGACGCTGTACAATGGTAGAATCGCCTATTTTACACATTCCATAAATATTGTAATTGTTATTAAGAAGTTATAGTTGAAGTGTACTGTGTCTTACTCTTTGGCTATTGGTAGTTGACGTCTTTACTGAAATTTTAATTCATGGGATCCAATTGGGCGGGGAATGTGAATTTAGTCTTCTTATAAGTTATATGGTCTTTGGTAATTCTCTAGCTAGCTTTTAGGGTTTGAATTAGGCCCAAGGTTCATTTTCTTATTAAGCGAAGGTTGTAATGAATGGGCCTCTCAAAACATTATACTCCTATTACTTTGAATTTCTGCAATTGTGTACATCTATAGGATATTTTGTTTGTTCAAGCCTATGGCATGTAGTACATGAGTGTTTTGGTATGAAGATAATTGCTGCCATATGCTTATTTGGTGATGAAATTCCGGATGTTGGTCAATACAGGAGCAAAATTATTAATTAATCCAAGTGTATTATCCAAAACAAACAACAAGTGTAAAGACAATTTTGATGTTAAAAGAATAAGACGGGAAATTGGACAGAAACATTCGCTATAAAAAGTTGTAAACGGAGAAATACTAATTCTCTATTTTTGATGTTTATTCATAGGCCAAAGTAGTTATCTATATCACTTGTGTTGCTTTTCATCTTTAGTTGTTCGGGTGATACTTGAGAAAACTGCTTTAGAATGGATCTTATTTCTGATTAGTTATAAAACCTTCAGTCTTAGCATGAAGAAATCTATTATTGATTGTCAACTGACTCAAAGAACACCACTTCAATTCTTTTCCCTTTTCTCTCATCTTTGTTGAAGAGCTTGAATTGAGGAAGAATGATATATTTTCTTATAAAATATGTTTATATAGATTCTCCATCCCCTAAACATGGATTTGTAATACAGTTTTCTGCTCCTTATATTTAGACATAATTCGGAGAGCTTATGTTGATTTGTGGAGTTAAAGACTTGATTCTCATTGACGAAGCATTTGCAATATTTCTGAAGTTGCAAATGGAGGAAAGTGCTTAACACATGATTTGTTTGATTAGAATTGGTTTCTGTATATGACCTTGCAAAGGCTTTTTACTTCAAGAATTATAGATATATGGAACATTCAACTGCTAAAGGTTATGCATATCCTGTACTGCTAAAAACTATGCAACCCAGAATATTAGATATTAGATCCGAAAATGAGATCCCAGCAGATCCAGTGGTATCATATATAATTTGGAATTCTATTCTTACACATTATTTTCTTCCGGGGTGGAGATGAGACATAATTAGTCATGCTTCGCCTTCTGTGTGGAGATGAGATCTCTTAGCTCCAACTGAAACCATTTAAGTCAAGTTGCTTGCAACTAGAAGCAGCATCAGTTTGGTCATCCGTGTTTAGGTCCAGCTTAGGAGCAAAGTAAGGCAGCTCATACTCTTGTGACGATATCTGCTTCTCTGGTTTCATTGAATCACTTCTCTCAGAAGATTGATGAAATAGTTTACTGTCTGCATTTATTCCATTAAGTCTTCCATCAAAGTAGGTACTGCTAACATTCCGTTTTCCTCCTTGAAGTCCAATGTTCATTGATAAGTTGCTCCAACTTGTCTCTTTGGTAAATTCTTTTTCTGAATCCCCATCCATTTTGGGAAACAGTTTTCTGTTCTCCTTGAGGTCGTCACGCCATCTTAGTTCAGTCTGCTGTAACCTGGTCTCATTTTCAATATCCTTCGTACATGGTCCGAAGTTTAAAGGCCTCAAACCAATCTGGCTATTATGCATTTCCCGCAGGTCCCTCAGGGGGCGTTCAGAGGACGTTAAGCAGCTATCCATTGAGCAATCTGCTGGCGGGGTTGCTTGTGTTTGTGGGGTGTGAAATCCTGAAAGTTCTTTTATCTCTGAAAATGCAGAATTAAGGCATTGGTTGGATACTTTGGATACCAAATCAGACAGTTGATCCTTGGCTGCCTCTAATCCGATTGTTCCCAAGTTTTGTGTTCCAAGGGTTTCTTGTGCTTTCTCAAGCACAGCTTGCAAATATTTCCCTTGAGCCTCTATCCTTAGCTGCAAATGTCGTTGCACCTATATCAGTTCAATTATGCCTCATTTAGATGCCAGCAAAGGAAAACTTTCATTGACTTGTAAAGTTTGGATAGAAGTAAATCTATGCAGAGTCTCTTAATTTGGATCGTCAAGTCTTAAAACAAAAGCACTATCTGGGACCAGAAAATAGACTAAGTAATATATTGGAGTTCAATTAGTCATCATCAGAAGCCCGTAAGGAAGATTCTTCATTACTAGTAATGTTTGCATAGAATCACATTGTTAAATTATTACTCCTTAGAGCAAAATCTCTATTTTGGACTAGGACTATTAAACTACTTGCTCAAGCTGTTATTCCATTATCTTGTTTCCACAAATATGAGAAATATGGTTCTGGTAAATCAATATTCTTTAATGAAAATGAAAATGCCTGATAATGTTTCAACAATCTATTGCTTCTGACTTTTCTTCAGATTATGACACAGGATGTCTCATCTGTTGCTACTAACATATTCCACATTGGCTTTTATGGTTCTAACTAAACTTATGTAAGAGAAATTTTGCAACAGTTTCTTACCTCAAGCTGTTCATGCAGCCTTCTTTGGACTTCAATTTGCATTTGTATTGCTTCGCTTATTGGTATGTTGCTGGACAAAAAGAAATTTATGGTCGCGATAGTGTAAGGTATGGTTTGGACATGAAGCAGGATGATATTAACAATTCAATTCTCTTAATTCGTACTTGTTTTGTTGGGGTCCAATGCTTGGAATATTGCTCATAGGGGTTCCAGTGCTCTCGCATATCTTCTCTATACTGGCTGCTGTAATTATTTACAAACAATAAGTATATGAAGGTTCTCTATCTGTGGAAGAAGCTTTCTGGATATATATATCCTTGAAAAATATTGGATTTCTTTTTCTTACCAGATTTATTGGCCCCGCTAATATTTGCTTGTCCATGGAGGTTCTTACTTAGTCTGTATTTCTGCCAGCCAAAATAGAAAATTAGATTTTCATGAGCAATTCAAACGTATCTGAATGACTGAATGACAGGTTTGCTCTTCAATTATTTGACATAAACAATTTTAACGGTCTTTCCAGTTGATTTGGCAGATTTTTTCGCTCTTAACCAAATGTTTTTTGTTTGGAATGGTGTATGGCAGCTATGTTATGAAGGTTTTTCATGTCTGATTTTCCCTCTTGAAATGTCTAGTTTCTTCACATCTAATTTTGTAAACCAAGGAATGAATAAAAACTAACCTGAAGATGGCTCTTTAAGTGGTACAAGGTTAGTCCCGGGATCCCCATAAGTTTCAGAACTGATTTCGGAGTGGCTTCTGCAAAAGAAGAATGGTGAATTTAATTATCTCAATGAAAAATAACATACATATATATGGAGCTTATCCAAATTAACAAATTTTGTGTGCACTTACTGTCTGCTCCACCTAGTTGGTTAACTGCTTCTATAAACCTCTCATGGAGGTCTGCTGTCCATTTCAATCTTGGCTTAGCATCGGTCGAAAGAACAAGCCCTGAGTCTCCATTGACATTCCCAGCTTGCAGGAACAGATGCCTTTCGGGGAAAGACATTCTTGTCGAAGGGTGCATATTGGCAGCTTGGTGGTGATGGTACATCTTCTGGCCTTGAATATGAATATATGATGATCAGCAAATAAGTCTTACGGTAGGATTTATAGGAATGATGGGCGACAAAGTATTTGTCACGTACGTGGAAGGAATCTGATGTCGCTTCAGGTTCAGTGACTCCAGTCTTTTCTTACCTTTTTAATAGCAAGTAATGATTCTTTACTATTCCTCACAGTATATAACATTGTTTTACATTTGGTTAAACAAAGGTGTCAGCTACAACTCTATATATATCTCATTGTTTTCTTTGACCAAATCCACAAAAAAGATATAAGGCAAGATTCTATGGATTTAACTGAACCAATTGTTTTCTGCTCGAACCAGGTATATATACGAAGAAAAAAACATTTAAAATGTATATATATAATAAGATTACACTCATTGTAAACTCAATGATTCTAGATCCTGAATTTGCCTCCGACTCTCAACCAATCTAATTTTCATAGCAGCTAAAGATAAAGGTGTTGGTTTTACACATTTATGGGTCCAGAATGCAAGTTCGCTTTCTAATCTACGGGAAAGGCACCATGCATTATATTCCTCTGCACTATAAGTTCCTGAAACACTTACACACCTTACAATAGGTACAAGAATTGATCCAGCAAAGACTTTTTTCTATGCAAACATATTCTTTATCTGGCAAAGTTTGGGAACCATATTCCGAGAAGTAATAGTGGAATATTTTTTTTTCCTGATGGAGACGGGAGGAATCCACTATCTATGATGTCTTGAAAACTACAACACCATCTACGCTTTCGAATGGAAGATTCTATTGACTGCAGCATCTAGTACTGGGAATTAGATACATGGAAGAAAAAAAGGCAAAAAGGTAAGAAAATGGTTGAGATGGTTCTCCTATTGAACGCCTAAACAAAAAATATGAACATTCTTTCTTTGGTTTCAGTTTGTTTAGTTATGGACGTTCTATGAATATTATGTTGATTATAGCTTGTCCTGGCAAAAGTAAATAATCTAGTGTCTTGAGTTTCTAAACCTCATTGTTTTACCAAAGCTTTGCTAGTAATAATTTTTCTTTCTTATTTGTTTGTCAAGCCATGTCATGCTATTCAATTTCATTTCCCCATTTCCCTAGATTTGTGCTTGCATATATTTATTTCAGGTATGAGGAAAAATTCATCTATTTATGAAGTTTGAATGTCCCTTCGAGGTCTTGCACGTTTTTTTTTTTAATTTTATGGGGAGCGGGGTGCGCAATTTATGTTGGTGTTGGCCTGCAGCAGCGCCTCTTTGCTCTGTCCAGTGCTATGATGTTTAGACACGGTATAGACACAAGCATGCCAGTTTTAGATGGTTAATAACTTTAATGCAACATCTTGGCCTGTACATAGTGATATGAACTTCTTGAATATCTTGAGCATTCTGTTCATTCTATGGTATTTTAAAATTTATGTGAATAGGGAAAATGGATGAAGAAATAAAATAAAAAGAAATAGTGGAGAGATGCTTCTTCGCTTGGTCTGAAGGCTAGGAATCGAATGAAGAATACTATCTTGTTGTCTCCTTCAGTAAACTTGGTACTTATTCAGCCTAAAATAGAGAGAAGAGGACCTCCAGCTAAAAGTTTTCTATTCTTTTATTGGTATGAAATGGCCATCTCCAAAGCATTGGGACCCCTTTCTAAAGAATAAATAAATCAATACTTGTTTGATGGAAAACATGACTACTCGCAACTGAAAGATCCCTATTTACCGATCCCTTGACTTAAGTCTTAATTGGTTTTGGAGGTACCCTTGAAGAATCTATATATCCTGTTCTTACAAAATAACTTTTGTGCCCGTTTATGGGTTGAAACGTGCCCATACGACACATAAAGATACAGTTCACTTTGTTTTTAATCGTAGTTCTATTTTCTTGGACAAGCTTGAGAAACTTAATTTATCCTCATATGTTGAATATATAGTTTTCTTCTTAAAAGAACATCCTAATTTTGTGAAACTTTTTTTTCCCTTCTCTTTTATCTGTTTAGTTTTTGTAGGGATTTCAGGGAACTCATACTAAGCTAAAGGCTTATCCTATTTTGCACCTCTGCCTCGTTTACTTTGTGTTATTAAGTGTATATCTGTTTTTTCATGTTTGCTCATAGGAATATATTAGGAACTATTACAATGAGTAAAAAAGAGTGTAGTGCGCATCGATTGATCGAGGGAGGGAGGAAGCTTTTTAGTATAAATTGAGCTGTGTAGCATTTCAATCTACTGTATAGATATAGACGATTACATTGGATAATATTTTCAAAGGAGAATCTTGTTACTGTTATCAAGGAATTGATCCTGGAGATCATTTATACTTTGAATATTTTCTTGGATCAGTCCTTCAAGTTTCATTTAATGGCTATGATATGTTAGTTGAAAAGCATGCCACTCCCTTCATTTCATGTTTTGGCTAATGGATTATAACCTGGATATTAACACAGCCTATTAAAATAAGCAAAGAATATTATCAACTGATGAACAGCCAATATAATGCAGAATAAATTCGCATACTAAGCATTGGAACCTAGGTCTACCTTTTGGCTATTGAGAATACAAGTTGAAAATCTGCCGCTGTTGAACAAAATGAGGTTATTGCATTGCAAAATTAAGAAACGCTAGGTTCCAGAAGGAGAAAGAAAAATTGACATTATTATTGGTTAGGCTTATGTTTTGTATGTTTAATTAGATACAATTTGATTAAAAAAAAAAAAAAAAAA